CTCTACACTGGAGTCACTGTGAGAGTCCTCCTGATCTCACAGACTGTAGGGTGTGCCAGCTTTTCAGATGCCATCAGGAACATGAGCTGCATTGCTCTGCATCCAGTGACTTACCATGTTGACGGGTGTGAAGAGCTCTCTCCCATTCAGGTCTCAGCTCAAGGTCTTCCCACTCCTGACTGCCTATAACCTCCCTCTGCCTCACTCCTCTCCCCTCGGTGTCTGCAGGCAGTGCCCTCAGCCGTGCTGTGCTTTGCAGAGGAGCTGCTCCTGGACACAGCTGTCTCTCTGCAGCACTGTCCTGTTGCTATGAGCTCCCTCCACCCCAGGAGCCCAGCCCAGCTCAGCAGCACAGGACCAGCCCAAGGCATCTCTCTTTCTATTCCCTTTGGACTCCCTTGAGATGTTCCTGGGGCTCCAGGGGAACCTGCTGTGAAACAGGCTGAAGGAATCACTGATGTTCCCTTCCTCAGCTGGGGAGAGAAGCTTACGACCAGCAGTCATTATTCCAGGAGAAAAGGAGATGGGCATGAGAATGAGTTTTTTTCTCTCCTATTTAGGCAGGACACCAAAAAGGTGACATTGAAATATCTCTTCTTCGAAGCTGGAGGAGGATGACTTCACTTGAGTTAATTTTGGCATTTCATTTTGGATTTGTATTTTTAGGGCTAGAAACACATTCAGCTCTCCTTTGTCCATGCCATGTCTCTGCTCTGAAACAAAACCTTTGCACACATGGGGTCTTGGACCCTTGGTACCAGGTTTCCTTACATCAAATATGAGTGTGCCTGGTTGGACAGCATCTGTGTTTCAGCCAAAATGTGTAGCAATGCCCTCAGCCAGGGGCACAGACAGGATGAACTGGAGTGTTAATGTCAGAGACAGAGCTGTGGCACTGACCGAACCCATTGCCGAGGTGTGGTGGCAGAGGTTGGTACAGCTGGTCTTCAAGGGCAGCACCCCCCAAGCACAGTTACAGCCCAAATGACAAACCAGTCTAAACCTGTAAGGCAATTCCAGGGAATCACAATGAGTGTTGAGT